AAATCAATTCCATGTAGTGCTTGTTATGTGTTTGGCTGTAGCTCTAATAAAAGATGAGTAAAACACATTCTGATCCTCAGAGAAGCAGGCTAATTGCTTGGGAGGAATGCTAAAATGTAAACGTAAAATGCCTTATGTTTACACGGGAATTACACCTTGAAATACTGAAATGTGGGGAAATGCAGGACAAAGGACTCCAACGAACATCCCAGATAAGGAATTTTAGTATTTATGTGTTCATAGCAGGTCACGACACTGTGGCTTCATGGTAAGACAGGAAGTTTTTGTGAACGGACTGAGACTTTAGTGGCTTTAAAGAATGAACGGGAGCGTGGTAGACAGACTAGGGCTTGGGAAGACATTTTAAAAGGAGAAACACCAAGAGTCTCAGAAGGCTGAAGGAAGGTAGTGAGGCTGTCTCCTTGTATGGCAGATGGGGAAAGATAATGCTGGCACATCATGTTATGGGCAAATTGTGGGAGGTGATGAAGATAAGATATTTGCTCTTTATTCTGGAGAAAACTGGAAATCACAATTATTTGAGCACAGCACTTGTGAGTAGGTACATTTATTTGCTAATTTCTTGAAAATAAGGAGGTCAAGAGGTACTAACTTCCAGTTGTAAAATAAATAAGTCTCAGGGGCTTGGGTGGCTCAGTCAGTTAAGCATTGGACTCTTGATCTCAGCTCAGGCCTTGATCTCAGGGTCATGAGTTCAAAGCCCCATGTTGGGCTCCATGGTTCTTGTGGACCCAACTTAAAAAAAATAAAAAAATGAAAATAAAAAAATAAGTCATGGAGATATAATGTATACCAGGAGGCTATAGTCAATAATATCATATCGCAATTTTTTTTTCATTTTATTTTATTTTTTTTTTCAGTGCTCCAAAATTCATTGTTTATGCACCACACCCCGTACTCCATGTAATATGTGCCTGTATTGCAAATTTGAAAGTTGCTAAGGAAGTAAATCCAAAGTGTTCCCATTACAAGGAAAAAAGATGTAACCTTGTACGATGGCAGATGGCAAATAGACTTAACTGTGGTGATCATTTTTCAATGTATACATACACTGAATCATTACATTGTACATATGATTCTAGTATAATGCCATATCTTGACTATACCACAATTTTAAAAAAGTATGTTAGACCTGGAGAATAGAGAAGGCAAGGAGAGAGGTTGATGGGATGATAAAGCAATCTGGGGAACATAAATATTCTTTATTAATTAAAGTTGTGACAACGAGAACAGAAATGATCAGAAAAAAATAATAGCTAACACAGATCCACTAGGATGTGGCAGACACATTTCTAAGTCTTTTATTGTATTACTCATTTACTCCTTGCAGAAACTATGTGGTATGTACTACTATAATAATCCCCATTTTTATAGATGAGGAAACTGAACAAGAGGTCATATAACCTTCTCATGGCACATAACAGCCTGGATCCCACCAGGCAACTTGACTACACAGTCTGTGCTCTTGGCTGCTAAATCCCATTGCCTTGGGATGGGTAAAGGGGTATTTACGAAGAAATGTACATAGTATTTGGAAATTCTATATTGTATGTGAAGACAAGCAGCAACATCTCTGTTGGATAGCTTTTAGTAACTGTTTATTCAACATGGTGTATCATTTGAGTTAAGGGTAGATAATGCATGTTTAAAATGGAATGATGGGAGATAAATTTTAAAATGTCTTCCTTTGATTTGTCTTTCAAAGGGTAGAGATATCTTAAATCTGCTTATTCCAATGCCTCCAAAATGATAGACATTTATATTTTTTTTAGATGTAAATGTGTTTTTTGAGGTGTTTTTCAGAAACACAATTGAAAATGTAAATAGTTGATTCTTACTGTATGCAGAATGCAAATGAAGACTTCTATACATGTTAGGTTGATTTTGGGTTATGTAGCAAAACCCGCACATTTTCCTTTATAAGGTGAGCAATTTGCCAAAAAGCTTTTGGGTAATTTACTAATTCAACAATAAATAGCCTGCCGTAGGATTTACTGTAATCTGAGGTCTCAGTCCTTATGTCTGAAGATAGAAAAAAACCCATGGAGAAAAACCTTTTTTACAACTTCTCTGGCTCTTACTCTTTATTTAAGTGGTGCATTGTACTTCTAAAGCGAGGACAATCTCTCACTTGACATCTGTTATTAAATATGTGGTTTGCACCTTCGTTGGGGGTACATTTTTAAGCTGTTTCATAAAAATGCTAACAATTTTATACTAATAACTAATCAAAAATAATGGAAATATAGGGCATTTTAATTAATGTCATATTTGATTGGACTTGTTCTGAGCTTAATGATGGAACAGATAAGATTTTAAAGACCTCAAAATGAACATTTCATTGGTCTTGTCCAAACTATTTCTTTTAACTTGGTATTTACTTTGAAACATATTTTATTTTAACAAGGAAGTACAACAGGAATGTATTTATTTCTTTCCACATGAATGCATTGACTTTAATTTTTAAAGAAAAACCAAAAATGGGACGCCTGGGTGACTCAGTTGGTTAAGCATCTGCCTTTGGCTCAGGTCACAATACCAGGGTCCTGGGATCGAGTCTGACATCTGGCTCCCTGCTCAGCGGGGAGCCTGCTTCTCCCTTTCCTCTCTACTCCTGCTCTCTGTCACTATCTCTCTAAAATAAATAAATAAAATCTCTGAAAAAGGAGAAAAGCCAAAAATGACCTTATTAATACATAATGGAATATGATAGGTCTCATTTTTAAGAAAACTGAATTTTTCATTTGCTGTATTGAGATATTTGGACATGATTGACATTCCAGAACAAAGGTTCACGTTCTTTCTTATATTTGTTGTTATTTGCAAGGGAGGACAATCATATAAAAGACTTTTGACAAGAAAGGCTGGTCTTTCAGAAAAAAAGCCTTTTCTTTCCAGGACTTTTAAAAATTTGCTTTGGGAGCACCTGGGTGGCATAGTCAATTGAGCGTCTTGACTCTTGGTTTTGGCTCAGGTTGTTATCTCAGGGTCATGGGATCCTGCCCTGCAAAGGGCTCCAGGCTGGGCAGGGAGTCCGCTTGAGATTCTCTCTCCTTCTCACTCTGCCCTCCCCTGCATCCCTGCATTCTCTCCCTCCCCACCCCTGCTCTTTTTGTTTTGTTTGGTTTTGTAAGTTCTGTTGGTTGTTTAAGTTTTGCTTATCTTACCTTATAGAGTCAAATTATTCCATTTCCCTGCAGGGTTACATGTTTTAATAAATCATTTGTAAAAGGTTTTATTTTCTGTGTGAAAGACTTCAGGGTCTCTATCACAGGCAGATAGAACGGGCAAGATGACCTTCAGAATTGCTCTGAGGTCAGATGCTAAACTGATTATTTGTAGAGTCTAAAGTCACTAGAATTACCTAGCGTAAGGAAAGAAAGAAAAAACAAAAAATGTGTTCATTTCCAAATGGTATTCATTCTATATTTACTTAAACAATGATTTCTAGGATTTAAATAGAAGTATTTAAATAGAAGTATTTCTATTAAATAGAAGCAGAATAGATAATTTTGTGACACAGAAATAAAAACTGGCCCAGATTTAGAAGAACCAAAAAAATAGTGTAAGTTGCTATATATATTGCTGACTTTCTAGTGATTATAGATCTTAAGATAAGAATATAGTTCATTTCTCCATGTGCATAACATTAAATTATTAAATAGAAAAGTGCAAAAATTTAGCTATGACCTTATCGTCAAGGTTATATGGGGCTACATGACCTGGTGAGTATAAAGTGCATGAGAAGAGCAATAAGTTAGAATCAAAAAATAATATTTCTGATTATAAAAATAATATAAGTGCAATATAGATAATTTGAAGGTATAGAGACGTAGAAGAAAGAAAAAAAAAACTATAACATGCAACCTGGAGATAACTTTTGTTTACTCTGTTGTATTCCTTCCAGTATTATTTTCACATATGAATGCAACTGATTTGGATCATATTTAATTATTGTTTTATTCTTTGTGCATTTGTCATCTAATGTTCTATCAGAAGCATCTCATTAAAATTCTTTGAAAATTTAATTTTTAATAACAGAAAAAATCAAGATATAATTCATTTAATGAATCTGCTTGGATATTTAGTTTATTTCTACTTCATCCATGTTGCAAATAATGCATTAATAAACATCTTGATAAATCTTTATCATCGCTATCTTATTAATTCTGTAGAGTTGATTCATAGGACTGGAACTACTGGGTTATTTACTTATTTAATAATTTCTGTAACTAATATCCTTTGAAAACCATCTTTGGGCTATGAAACATTTTTTAGTATGTTGATATATATTATAACATTGCTATCTAGTGTGGTTATACCCATTTATTGGTGATTATTCCAATACCTCCCTCCTGGTATTTATGCCCTTGGATAGTCCCTTCCATAATGAATAGGGTTGACCTGGGTAAACCAATATGATATTATGGAAAGCAAGGTTAGTCAGAAAGGACATTGTGGTATCTGCCTTGCTCCCTCTTGGCTCACATGCTCTGAAGGAGCCAGGTGCCATACCATGGGAACACTTAAGCAGCCCCAAGAAGAGGTTTTGTAGTGAGAAACTGATGTTCCATCCCAAGAGCCAGCAAGGACCTGAGACCTCTAGCTAGCAATTATATCAATGTGCCATCTCTCAAGCATCCTCTAGGCCCACCCAGCCTTTGGATGACTGCATCCCTGGCCAGCACCTTGATGACCACCTCCTGAGATCTCTTGAGCCAGAACTGCCAAATAGCTAAGCCACTACTTGATGCTTGACACTCAGAAACTGTGTAGGATGATATGTATTTGTTGTTTCATTATATTTTAGGATATTTTGTTACATATCAATAGATAAATAATACCTATGCCTACCAGCAGTTGGCATAGTCCTTGCTGACTTTGTCATTTTTGAGCTAATTGGGCAGAAAAACGTTATCTTCTTGTTTTATTTCAGTTAGTGATTTCCTTGTGATTAATCATATTTTTTTCACTTCCAGTGGTGATTTATGTCTCTTCATGGATTTTAAAATGAGAGTTTCAGTTTTTTCCTTTAATTTCCATCAAGAACCAGTACAACAGTATAAAGGTACAAATAGGAACCACAAGAAAACCTCGGAAATGCATGATTCAAGGATTTTGCAAGATTAACAAAGGGTCAAGAATTAGACAAAAACTAACTCCTAAAGATGCAGTTTAACATTTCTCCTGGTACCCTCTTGGATCATCAAAGCAGCTGTGGCAGATCATATATTCCAAAATGCCAGAACAATATTTCCTATCTACATGCTCTTCCTACAACATGAATTTGATATTCCTTCCATTGAGTGGTTGGTTCTATAATGTACATCACTTTGAGCCTGGAAGAATAGAGACTGTGTAAGTTCAAGTGAAGATATGTGAGTTTGGAAGTTAGATCGTAAAAGATGCGATAGTTCCTTCCTGATTCTCTTTCGATGCTTCCTCTTGGAACTTAAGCTACTCTGTTGCAAGGGAGTCAAAACTAGCCCACATGGAGAGGTCACTTGTGGGTTTTCCAGCCAACAGTCCAGTGGAGCAGCTCCTAGTCAACAACCAGCATCAACTGCCAAATATGTAAGTGGAGATGCCTCCAGAAAATTCTAGCTCTAAGCCACTGAGTCACCCCCCCAACCCCCACCACTAATCTTCGAGTCTTCCCAGATGAGGCTGTAACCATCCTGGAGCAGAAACAAAAAAATCTACTCTGCCATATTTGAATTCCTGATTTATAGAATTTGTGAGCATAATAAAATAATTGCTTTATGTCTCTACGTTTTGGTTTACTATGTAGCAATCGTAACTGGAACAGCAACCATATAAGGACAAGGAGGTTAGTCAGATGTTTTTATCACCATTTTACTTGTGGAAATACAAGTAAAGGGAGAGAGATAAATGACATTTTCAGGGTTTCCAAATAAATTAGTGTCAGTTCAATAGTGGACTGTTTTCACCACAGGATATGCTTTTAAAGATATAACTAGTGGGGTCCCTGGGTGGCTCAGTGGGTTAAAGCTTCTGCCTTCGGCTCAGGTCATGATTCCGGGGTCCTGGGATCGAGCCCCGCATCAGGCTCTCTGCTCAGCAGGGAGCCTGCTTCCCTTCCTCTCTCTCTGCCTGCCTCTCTGCCTACTTGTGATCTCTGTCAAGTAAATAAATAAAATCTTTAAAAAAAAAGATATAACTGGTGATAAAAATAATAATGGAAATATTTTATACTCAGTGATTCATTCAGAAAGATTTATTGACTAGTACTAGCAGATTACTTGCAATAGATGAGGTTTTTGTGGTAAAATAGTGAGCGAAAAGAAGGTATGGACTCCATCTACCTGGGAATTACAGGCCAGCACAGGAGACATTTATCAGGTAATCACACACATACATAAACATTGACAACTGGATACATGCAATAAAGGAAATTATAACAGTATCCTAAAAGCAATACCAAATTGACTGTGGTCAGGAAAATGTGACTGGCATTTGACTTGAGACCTGAAGGATGAGCAATTATATTTAGCTGTACTTAGGTTTTCTTTTCACATGTTATTTCGTTTTTTATTTGTTCATTCGCTTTTCACTATAAAGTTATATACTGCTTTAGACCAGAAAATGTGCTATTTCAGCTGAATAACTCCACAGAGCATAATTATAGTCATAGTTATGCTAAGGCTTCTGCAAGTGGTACAGTGGACTTAAGAATAATTCAGCTTAGGGTTCCACTTCTACAGTTGTTTTATGATATTGTTGTCCTGTCACTCACTTCCAGGTTTTAGCAGAGGTCTTTGCGTCACCTGTACTAAGCTCTTCTGATAAGTGTGAAGCCAATGTGTTGGGACACTGATCTACAATGGAGGATTCAATTGGCCGATGCATTTATTTGGCAAAATAATGGGTCATGTCCACTAACAACATTAGTACTTCCTGTGCTATGAAGTATTCAAGGACTCTTAGTGGTTATGAATTGACAAGATAAACTAGTAAGAGTTTATAAAGATTTATAGAATTGAATAATTCTTACTAATAATCCAAAAATGGAAACAAGGTGATAGAGGGGTGGGATTCAAAATCCTAAAATTCTCTAAAACTCATTTTACAACTTATAGACCTAATAAGATTCTCAATATACTGTAATGAAATTTCTATGAGAGTTGTGACTGTAAAGGAGAATTCCAGTAGGCCCAGACTTGGAGGGTCTGATGGAACGCAGGAGGACATGCAAAGGGGTGATGGGGGACAGGGGGAAGATGGAAGGGAACCTGAGGCAGAACACCATAATTCAGTCAAGCATTTGTACTCCATCAGGACTATCAAGAACAGATGTTTTGGGGTGCCTGGGTGGCTCAGTGGTTTAAAGCCTCTGCCTTCGGCTCAGGTCATGATCCCAGGGTCTTGGGATCGAGCCCCACATCGGGCTCTCTGCTCAGCAGGGAGCTTGCTTCCCCTCCTCTCTCTCTGCCTGCCTCTCTGCCTACTTGTGATCTCTGTCAATTAAATAAATAAAATCTTAAAAAAAAAAAAAAAGAACAGATGTTCTGAGATGAACATCACTCCGGAATTGTTCTCTGATTTACGACCTCTTTTCTTTTGGAAGATCTATCTATTGTGGTACTACGACTCCCCTAAACTTCCTGAAATACAGTCCATTTATCTTCTTGTCAGAGACTTTAGCTCTCTAAGGATTGAGCAGAGGTTGAGATGGACAGAATAATATCAGGGGATTTGGTATATTGGAGTTGGGGACTAAGAGATGCCGTGAAAGGGAGTATCTTCTGGCTTAGGTTCTGATGTGTACCAGGGCCAAGTGGATGGTAAAGTAGACTTTCTAGTAGTTTGAGTTAAATTAGAGCTGTTTCATTCATTTGAAGTTAACACATTCACTCTGAGCAGTTTGATGACAGGGAAAAAATACAGTCATATCTGAGGCTTAAAATGGATGTCTCAGATATGAGATAAGATTATGGGTCCTTAGTCCATGGTGATGTGATTTGGGAGGTCACAGAGCTAAAAGTCTTATAAGAACAGGGTTTCTCTTTAAATAAAGTTAGGGAAAAGGCTATTGTTCTATATTCAAGGTCACTAGTAAGCTGACAAAGTTGTTTTTAAATCTGTTTAACCAACCAATAATAGTTCTGTAGCTATTGTAGTAACCAACAGACCTGGTTTAAACATCTTTAGTTGACGAATGACTAACCACCTGAGTTAAACACAAACCTAAAATCTAGCCATGAGCGACAGCTTCATACTTTGAAAGTCAGATAGTTGATGGAGAACTCATCCCAGTGAATATGTGTCTAAGATTGATATTAACTCAGTCCCTGATGTTAGCAGTCCCATCGCTATAACAAATAAAAACATGCTTACATCAATTCATTCCTGTTGACATAACCAACAAAACTCTGAAACGAACACTTTCTGAAAACCCTGTATTAAGTCAGCAACTTCCTTTGTCCTAAAGACTGCTTGGTCAACACAGCTCTTCTTTACTTAGGTAAACAGTAAATTCAGTTTTTAGTTCTAGGTACCAAGTAGTGGTCTCTTCTGTCATGGTTTCAAAAGGCATTGAGTATATCATGGAAATCCAGAAAGGAGATGTGTTGGGCCCTTTGTGTACCATATTGGACCAGGGACCAGACCTCTGGTAGATGGTTCGTGAGAGGACCTAAACTCTTTTGGACTATTTTTAAGGATGTTTGTACAGTGAACATCCATGGAAGAGAGACGTAGTGTCTTCTAGAGTCAAAAGCAGGATTGTTCAGTGTCCTAAGCGTGGGGAGGGAGATCTTGAGAAGATAGCAGATAAGGGAAGAGAAAATTAGGTCCTGAGTTAATGGAGTAACGAGGGAGATAAAGAGGATGCTAACTGTGCTATACGTTTTCTATTTGTCCCTCTGTAGCCTGTTTTGGAGTGGTAGTATCTAGAAGTTGAACAGCTTGGACTACATCAATATATAGTTTTATTCCCTGGCTTCCAGTCATGTTCAGACAATGATGCATGCAGGCTAGACATCAGCGGAGTGACAGAACATGAGATCAGGATAATTATACCCTGCCCTCCACCTCCACCAGCTTCTTCTGTTGGGAATCACCGTGGTCTTGCTGTGGCCCAAGGCCATAACTCCTGTTAGGTCTAGACTTTTCCAGGTGCCTTCCTATTTCCATTATGATTTCTTCCTTTTGTTGGCCTTTCAGTCCTGGGGGTCGTAATGGGTTCTCTCCATATTATTGTATTAACGCCTCTATTAACCTCTCTGCAAACTGCCCAGTTTGAGTGTGCCATCTACTTCTCGCCAGGACCTGATCAATACACTACTCATGTGATGATGCAAAGGCAGAAATGATGGGACTTGGCAACTGACTGATTGTCAGGGGCAGAGGAAGCAAGGAGGCAGAGTGGGTGCTGCTTAGGGGAATGGAAGCCGTTCATGGAGATCAGAAGACCAGGGGAGGGTTTAGAAGGAACACTGGCGAATAAATTTTAAGGATATTTGTATTTGAGGAGAAGGCAGTTAAAACACAAGATTGGCGCCCAGGACAGAAAGCAGGACTGGGGATATAAATATATTCCTCTACATAGGAGAAGATGGAAACTACAGGAGTGACTGAAAACAATCAAGGGAGACTCTACAGATCTTCTACTAAGCTAAGACTTATTAACTAAGTCTCAGTTTAGACAGGAAGCAGAGTCATCATCCAAAGACATACAGTTCACCAAGTCTAAGTCAAAGTAATTGAAGTATCTACTTGAATTGTCGAAATGCTATGAAGGAGATAAAATGTATACAGTAAAGTCTTGAAATCTTTTTTTTTTCACCGATTCTTTCCCACCCACAGTAGTTTTTCCCTCTTTGTAGGACCTTCCTTCTGCAAACTATATGCCCATCGTAAAACTTCCTTTCTTGACATCCCTCTATTTATTATTCTCCCGATTGCTTATCACAGTGGTGAGAGGAGGTTAGATTTTAGATATGTTCTGGGGGTAGAGACAGGAGCACATTTGCTAATAAATGTGATTGGGGGTGTGAGAGAAGGAGACAACTTCTCCCCGGCATGTGAGTGTGCGTGTGTACATGAGTGTGTGTGTGTGTGTGTGTGTGTCGGTGGGATTGACATCTGCCACTGATCCTTTATCTATGGAGAAGATGAAACTTAAAATAGTCCTGGAACAGCCTGACTGGAAGTCAATATTTTTACCAATCTGTATTCCATAATTACTTCTCTAAGACCTTGAAAAACTTTTACTAAATTGCATTTTTAAATTTCGGTTCACTTTTTGCATTGAGTGTATACAGTTCAATTTTCAAACCTCTCACTATATTGCTATGTATTTTTATTTTGTTTTTAGACGAGTGAATAGTTGACATTCACCTGAACTGCCTAATGGAGGAAGTCTCTAGATGATGCTGAGGAAGAGGGATGATTTAGAGCCCATGCCAGCCAGACTGCATGCAGTAGGATGCTGGTAGAACGCAGAATATAAATGATAAAAATGTGGACCTGAGATAGACTATAGGCATAAAAGGACAGAAGGACCTAAATTTAGTGAATGCAAAAATTTAGATTCAAAACATGACAACTGTCATTTGTGTCTCTAAAACAACCTCAAATTTATAGTTTTAAATTAAATTCATTATTGAGAATAGAAGTATAAGAGTACCTCAGATTTACCTAGTTAAACAGCATCAACTTTGCCTTTGTTCACAGAAGTGTTAATTTTTGAAACTTAGCTGTATTTTTTGT